TCCATATATATGGTGCTCTAAGAATTCAGGACAGTGAAAATTCACTAATAGAACTTACCCATTTGTCCAAATCGACTGCCTTCATTACACAGGAACCGGAAATAAAAACAAAAACAAATTTTAAAAACACAGTGGATTTTACATGTTTTATGAAGATATTTTCTGTTGGTTTGTTAAATAGGTAGGCACCATCTAAGTTAATTTAACAAAACAAAACTGACTTCGTCCACAGAGGAGTTGGACAGCATCTCCTGTAATGCTCGCACAGACAGAGACTGCTCCAAAATGAAGCAGCAGATTGCCAGGTCCGGAGGCACATTCTGAAACATGGGACATCTAGTAAAACGCAAAGTCAAGAAAAAACTATTAAAAATTAAGTTTATTTTTTATTTTTTTTAGTACCTGAGCATTTGAGGTGGTTTCCAGGAAACAAAGTCGATTTCCAAATCCTTCACAGGACAAACACAGCTTGATCTGCTCTTTAAGAATAGATGCAGTGCACTGCAGGACCACCTGATCGTCCTACAAACACAAAGACAAGCCAAAGAGAAGATGATGAGGAATTTACTGTCAATTAAACCCTCCAAACAGAAGAGTTTATTTAGTTGCTTTTAGTTTGTAATAACAAATTGCAACAAACCYTTTGTCAGTAAACCATAACTCATTATAACTTAATTTCATCACATAAATTAATTTTTAAACCAAATCACTCATATAATATTGTGGTCACAACAAACAATAAAAACTATGACCTGTTATATATCCCAGTGATTGTCACAAGTCCAACTCTAATCTATCTATTTATTTGGCTCCAAGAGCCCAACTAAGCCCTCTATTTCAGGCTGCTGCAGCTGCTGTTCACACACCCCTCTGTGGAAAAGCAAAAATTGTTTAGAACTTGACAGTCAAATCCCAGCTACAAAAAGTAATACTTAGTAGTTAATTAAATAACATTTTCCTGTTAAATCTTAATACATCAGTCTATCCTCAGTGTCCTTCTCTAGAAATATGGAAAAGCTTTTAAAAATATTACAAATAAATTATTTCAGAAATACAAAACCACTGACAATGCTCCTAAAAAACATAATTTAATACATACTAATTTCTATGTGTGTGTCCTACTGTTTCTCTCCACTGCTGCCAAAAGTTCCCTCTGGTTGTTGTTGGGTGAAAATGAGAGGGTAACAGACAACATCTGATGGACATACAGTTAATCAGCACGATAGCTGAATCTCTTCTAGACCTGAAGCAAACCAAAAATTCTCAAACAATTCATATCTGCAATTAACAAAATATTAACTTCTTATCTTTATTGTAGAGATGAGGAGTCAGAAAGAGGCTAACAGTGGAGCTAARGTCTGTATTTACAGTTCTGAAGCACTTGTGAGGAGTGACGTCTTTAAATCACAACAGAATTGTTTCAAATTGTCTTTCAAAATGTCTCTTAAAATGTAAAATCAAAAGTTGTCTTAATTATTTCACAAACAGAGCTAGTGTGTTGGTCCCGCACAGTGACAGCACACTCATTGACAAGATAATATTTTAAACTTATTAAAAAAACAAAGAAAAACTTCACTTTATGTGCCAAACTCAAGGCCCYCGGGCCAAATCTGGCCCTCGTTAACATTTTATCCGGCCCCAAATGTAATCCTTAATATGTGAAATAGTTTCATGGTTTTCCTTGGTTTTGGCCAATTTTCGAACCAAGAAAATAAAGTCTAGATTTTTCAGTAATCTTTGATTTTGATGTAAAAAGAGCAACAGAGAATTGACCTTAATTATATATTTGTTTTTCTTATTATTTTAAAATCAAATAATAAGATTTTTATTGTGCTTTCTTTTATCTGATTTTCTGGATTGTGATAAAATGTATATCTAATAAATAACAAAAAAAGTTGTAGGTACAGAGTAATGCATTAGAAATGAATGATAATGTGTGCCTTTCTAAATGTAATCATTTACTTTACCTATTTGCATGTTCTAAATGCTACATAATTTGGAAACGTCAATTTGTATTTCTGTAAAAATAATTTATCTGACATTTTTTCAGTAAATTGTCAGTAAATATTGTCAGGAATTGGCTTTTGGCTCGGACCAGGTTTTGAATTTTGGCTTCCTTGTGTGAGTTTGACACCACTGCCCTAAAGTTTCACAATTTCTGTCCCTTAACTTTAATTTACAAAACGCCTTTTAATGAAAAACTCATTAGAGAAATAAATTCTACAGAAAAACAAAACAGTAATTTTCTGAATTTACATAAATACAAATCATCTTTACAAATAAATTACTCCTTGTTGGTTCTCCATGCTGACTTCACGCTCAGCCTGAGAGACGTGTCRATGTTTTATTTACAACACATGCACAGCAACAGCATGTTCATCATTCCAACAATCACCATTCCAGTGGCAGCTGTGACTTCATAACCTCACCAAATAATCCACTTGCTCTAGCTTGTTTTTGGCGACTCGACTGATACAGATTATCTTGAGAAAATATGGCTAGAATAGTTTTATATCTTAGAATAGACAGCTGTAAATCAATAAGCAACAGTATGAAGAACTGCTTCCACACAGACTGAAGTAAGCAGGTGCTGAAACGTGCAAAGCTTTGAACTTGTTAATCCTCACACAGTAAATATAGAAACCCAGCTGAGTTGAAGGCGAGCAGCGGCCGACTGACAGTAACTTAATGGTACATTGTTGACATACTTCTTGTACGGCTGTGTTTCAAGCCAACATTATCTGAAAACACACTTGAACCCCATCGTGTTCATACATCAAGCGCTCGTTTGTTGGAGCCAAGTGTTGTCACACTTCTCAAACTTCACTAAAATGCAGCCCACGGATAATCCGAGTCTGGCTCAGACTACGACACGAAGGCTAACGTTACCAGGTTTAAAAAAGCTTAAGTGACACAATGTTGGCTATGCGCGTTAGCGTCGACACCGACCGTCCAAATAAAGACAGTTACAATGTGGAAGTCTGCTCGCAGCGCCACCATGCCCTTCAACAGGCACAGAGATCTGAGAGAGAAAGCCGATACGCCGGGGTGCAGCAGCAAAAATAAACTAAATGTCTTACACACAGTCGTTTCAAAAACTAACCTGTGCAAAATATTCATGAAAAAAAAATCATGTAAATAAAACCTGATTTATAAAATAAGCTCTAATGGCAAAATTAGTCTAAAATAACAAAATTTTTAAGCAAATATGTGAAATTTAGACATCTTTAATGGTGTTTTTTAATAGTAGTTGGATATTAGATAGCTCAAAAATAAAATAAAGAAAATATTTTAAATACAAATCACCGTAGCATCTATCAGCACCAGCCGGTTCATGAAGAAGTCAAATCAAAAGTTCTTTACAGCCATCCAGATCATCAGAACTTTTCTTTTTTTATTAATAATATTATTTCTGGGAAGCTGCTGTTAGATAGACGTGTTCTTCAACCACAAATGCAGAAAATAACTAAAAATAAAATAATATTTTTGGATAATTTAAAAGAAATGTTAACCTCAGTTAATCACTGTCAAACATCAGTATACTGCTTTATGATGTTTATGTCCATATGCAGGGACAAAACAGTAATAAATCACGTGCTTCATTGGGATAAAAATAAGGAAGAACAATGCTGACCACCTGCCTTTGTCAATCAGTTTATTGTCTAATTATAGAAAGTTACTCAATGCTCTGAAAGTTTTTTTTTCCACATTTCAAAGAACTACAACACTGTTTCAATATTCAGAGTAAATCCAAAGAAATGTCAGCATTGCTTACCGTACGCAGGAACTGGATCTCCTCCTCTCCATCAGCACCTTCTGCCATCCTCCCGAGGTCCTGACAGCAGAAACCTGGTGAGAAATGGGAACCGGGTTTTGTTCACAGCTCTGCGACTCCAGGGATCAGTTTGCTCGCCGCATGACGCCGGGTTTCTTGAAGGGCAGAGTGTGACCCCTGCCTCCGCCACGCTGAGTTATGAGGTGCAGGGATCGACTGTTCATTATTCACAGCTGTTCGAATCCCCGTCATGGAGAGGTGGAGCGAGCTGACAACACAGGCAAAACATTTCAAACACTCACGTTGTGTCATTGCATTTCAACTGCTCATGTAAGCATTGTTTTGTACTGCAGTAATGTCAGAATTAATTAATATGAAAAAGGAGATTCTATATATACAGGTGCTGGTCACAAAATTAGAATATCATGAAAAAGTAGATTTATTTCAGTAATTCCATTTAAAAAGTGAAACTTGTATATTATATTCATACATTACATACAAACTCATATATTTC